CCCGAATTTCGTCACCTCTCTCGGCGAGCCGTGCCAGCTCTCCTTCCGACCTTCCCGGGCCGGCGGGGAGCGGCCGCTCGGGGCGCCGTCGGCTGACGGGCCGGATCCGCTGCAACACTGCCACTGGGCGGCGGCCGTCCCCTGGAAAACCCCGGCCCAGCAGCGGCGCCACTCGGACCGGGCCGCCTGATGGATGGCCGGTCGCCCGAGAGGCGGGACGGGCCGGCCGCGCGGCTCGGGCGGCGCCCCGACCGAGCACTCAACCGGGCTCGGCGCTGAACGGCCCGACTACACCACCGCGCAACCAGCACGTCGTCTGACCGTCTGATCAGCAAACTGTCTGACCGGCAAACCGTCTGATCGTCTGATCGCTCCTCAACCAGGCACTCGGAGGCTGTGAACTGAAGCGTCCTCATACTCGTATGTAGACTGTGGCAGTTGGTGTGTTTTGGGTAGACTCCAGGCGCCTTGGTCTCTCAATATAGAGGCTGATACCGTCCAGCAGCACTGTCTCAGCGACTGCCAATGTCCGGCAGCACTGTCTCAGCGACTGCCACCCTCCAGCAGTGCTGTCTCAGTGACTGCCACTCTCCAGTAGTGCTGTCTCAGCGACTGCCATTCTCCAGTAGTGCTGTCTCAGTGACTGCCACTCTCCAGCCGTCTCAGCGACGGCCACTCTCCAGCAGCACTGTCTCAGTGACTGCCACTCTCCAGCAGCACTGTCTCAGTGACTGCCCACTGTCCAGCAGCACTATCTTAGTGACTGTCGCTGTCCAGTAGTGCTGTCTCAGCGACTGTCACTCTCCAGCAGTGCTGTCTCGGTCACTGTCGCTGTCCAGTAGTGCTGTCTCAAGTAGTGCTGTCTCAGTGACTACCATTCTCCAGCCGTGCTGTCTCAGTGACTGCCATTCTCCAGCCGTGCTGTCTCAGTGACTGCCACTCTCCAGCAGTGCTGTCTCAGCGACTGCCACTCTCCAGCAGCACTGTCTCAGTGACTGCCACTCTCCAGCAGCACTGTCTCAGTGACTGCCACTCTCCAGCAGCACTGTCTCAGTGACTGCCCACTGTCCAGCAGCACTATCTCAGTGACTGTCGCTGTCCAGTAGTGCTGTCTCAGCGACTGTCACTCTCCAGCAGTGCTGTCTCGGTCACTGTCGCTGTCCAGTAGTGCTGTCTCAGTGACTGCCACTCTCCAGCCGTGCTGTCTCGGTCACCGTCGCTGTCTGTCCGTCCGTCCGTCCGGCAGCTCCGGACAAACGCCCCGCCCCGTACCTGTTGCCGGGCGTCGGCCGGAGTCGGTGTGATTGACGCCGATATTGACTGGGCAAAGACCGTCTGTTGGCCGTGCACTCTGGGTGTTAGCGGGCGTCCCTAGTCACCCTGACGATGGCTCGGACTGCCGGGAGGTAGCAGCAGGGTGCTCACAGTTGCGGCTGTATTTATTGCTGCTGCACGATGGATGCATATGCCGTTATTGATGTTGCTGCATGCCGCCATGCTGGCTTGCTTAGAGCTCTGTACGGACGCCCGCGGTTTTGGTTCTCTGTCACCTCTGCATGAAGAATGGCGACTATAGAGCCTGCCTTGCCCCGGTGTTATGGGCGAGAGGAGACGATGATTGGGTTTTTAGGACACCTCACTCTGACGCCTGTAACCAAGCAGCGGTCCAGCTTTCACGGCTGGTCCAGCGGTAGTGGTGCTGATATATTTTATGGAGTCTGCAGTAAAGTGGGCAAATGATTACGGCCGCCGATTCGGGTCGTATACTGCATACATCACATGCAGCTACATCCGAAAGTGGCTTTTTATGACAGAAATTAGCGGAAAAGTGGCCCCTGGCGTGCCGGTGGACGGTTTTTCAGGCTGGCGTTGGAAGGTGTGCTGCCCATTTCCCGGTTGTTTTACGTCGCTAAAATCATTCGGCAGATCGCGGTATCGTGAGCGGTGTATTGTGAATTCAAACACGCCTTTCAATGCGTCAATGCGGTCGGTGGTTGCATAGGTCAGTAAATTCGTCATGAACGAGGCCATTTACCGGGATATTTCGTGAGTTGATGGGATGAACAGGGGATTATCCGTCGTAGCCAGGGGGTACCACTTGGTATTCAGTGTTATGGGGCCTTTTGCGAGTCTGTTGACCAAGGACAAATGCTTATCCACTGAGGGCACCATGGAGCGCCCATGTTGAGACTAGAGACGTCGAATGCGTCATATAGGTACCGGTTTTATTATTCGATACGTTTTATAAGTCATCGGTAGATAAATAATAATTGTTTTTGCATGAGGTAGGCTGGTCATGCTGCAAACTTCGGTGGGCAAACGCAACGCGACTTTATTTGGTGGTACTATGAACTCTAATAACCGTTATAACTGATCAGTCGTTACGCTCGTGGTCTGGCATCTCTTGCTGTCTTTACATCTGAGTCCAGGGAGGGTTAGGTAGCAACCTTAGTACCGTAACAGGCCCCTATCTCAGGACCCCAGTAATGCCTCCTGCTGCTTCCCTTTCCGGAAGGTGCAGCAGACAGGAGCCAGTTCCGTTCTCTCGGCAGCCGGTGTGACCGCACCTTCCAAACATCACTGGCGGGATGCGTAACGATGTTTTGCCGGCGCGCAAAACCAACAGCGCACGCCACACGTCTATTTTCCTTTGCGACCTCCCGGCTGCGTGTGTCTCTCCTCACTCTCTGTTCTCTCTCCCTCCCATCCCTCTTCCGTCGACATCGGATACTGTGGCTGGGGAGCGACGACAAAAAAGGTCCCGCCGGCATTAGCACGAGGCGTTTTTTGCTCGTCAGTTGTAATCGATTTTTTGTTCCCCCTCCACCCGCGCCGGCCGGCGCCGGATCGTTAATCATGACTGGACGAAGCCGACGGCCTCCGCTGCTTTTTGTCCCAGTTTTTGTTTCGGTTTTTGCAGCGCTTTTTGCACGTCCTGTCTCTGCTCGCGCACGGGGATTTTTTACCTGTGCGGTTTTTGTTTGGGTTTTTGCTGTGGGCGTGCAGTTTTTGCTGCGGTTTTTGCGCGTGCGTTTTTGTGTGGTGGTCCGTCTCAGGGGCAGTCTGCGCCGCTGACCTTGGTGGGCGCAGATGGCTGGCGCGGGGGACGCGACGTGCTGGAACGGACGGCGGGGAGGGCGAGCCGCGGCCCCTGAGCCGCTCGGGAACCCGACCCGCCGAGCTGCTGGGACTGACAGTTTTTTTCCTCCTTTGTCGGCTTCCCACATGCTCCCTCTGGCTGAAAGGCGGTGAAGGTCAGGCGTACTCGGCCTGAATGCCTGCGAAATGAGACTCGTCGAAACGGTTCAGCAATCGGTAGTGTTCGACGACTATGAAGACATAGTTGCGTTCAAATTAAGTTTGAGACGGCTCACGTTTTCTGTATTCCTATCTGAAGTACTTGGAGTAAGGAACAATTTTTTAAGGTTAGTAAGCCTAAGCACACCTCATACAACAAGTACGACATTCAGGAGAATAGACGGGCAATAGGCAGGTTTTACTTATATAGTCGATAGGGCCATCTCGTGCAATTAAACCTCCAAAGCTGCTTCCCCCAGCAGCGCTCCCTGCCCGGTCAATGACGCTGCTTTATCGTCGTTTTTGCTCAATCTCCATCCCAGCTAAGTGCTGTCTGATAAAAAAACTCCCCCACCCATCGTCGAACGCTTCCTGGCTGCTTCATGCCGCCAGCATCCTGGGTAGTGCCCCGAGTTTTTGTGAGCTGCGCGCATGTCTCGGGGCTTTTCACCTCGCCGTCTGGCGTTTTTACGTTATTTTTTCCCGGTTGTCGATGCAAGTTTTTGTCCTCGGTTGGATGTCGGGCGTTGTTTTTTGCAGGCTGGGTTCATGAACGGTCGAGCCTGGCTTCGGGGTAGGTCTCTGACCTCTAGCGGTCTCCAGGCACAATATCTGCTCGTCTGGGGAGTGGGGCAGTAAGCCCGTGATCCGATGGCTCTAACTCTAATGTATTGTGTCTCTGATGGTTTGTGATAAATTGAACGTTATGTTGATGTATCTGTAATCTTGTATCAATGCTGACCGGAATTTTTTTTATGTGGCTGTGGAGCTACCTCATACTGCTACTATGGCCGTAAAAAGCAAAGCTGTCACGCTAAAACGTGTAGCTTAATGTTTCTCTTCAAACCTGTTTTGCATTGTGGATGTGAATGCTGGATTTTCGAGGCTGGAGCATTTGATGGGACAATCTCGATGCGTTATTCTTTTACGTTGCCGTGCTGAACACATACTCAAACTTTTGCGTTTGTTCGTGATTCGTGATATCACCGGTAACGATCCTGAAGTTACAAACACTTGACCATCGAATTCGTGATCGGAACACCAATTTCATATTAGTGTTCAATTGCACTCGCGTTGCCAGTTGTTTCTTAATTCCGGCAAACCGTGCGCTTCGTTGTCGCTTTCCATGTCTGTTGTATGTTTGCCCTAGTCGCGTAGCTCCTCTGGTTACGACCATTTAATGTAATTAGCTCTCTGCTCAGTGTCTGTCTGGTGTGCTGTTATCCCGGTTGCTATCCCGATTAATTTGTACGAGTGTTCAGCATGTAGCTGTGCATGGTTTTGCAGTAGTTGTTACCGGTAAGGTGTCCACCATTGCTGCACACCCGTCCCGGCGCTGTTGTTCACATATCGGTGACAGCTGAGGTTCGATAGGGTGATCTGAGTGCCGACCTCAGCACAAAACGAGGCGGGTAGTGTGAGCCCCCCCCCCCCCCCCGGACGTCTGGAGGTGGGATCTGAACCGGTAGAGGTCAGGGTCACCAGTCTGATCATGACCGATCTGAGACGTCTGGGGATCGGCAGTATCGGTCGCAGGGTGTATCAACCCGATCCGCCGCGGGGCTATCGAAGGCCGGTGTCTATGTATAACCCCGGTGCTGACGGCTCGTTGTTGATGTCTGCCGGGTCGGGTGTGTGTTCCGTATTTAGGGAAGATTGGGTGTCCCGGAGTGCTGACCGGACCCTATCCGTCTCCGTTGCAGGAAAGTGATCGACAAGATCGACCAGAGCGAGTTCGAGGGGTTCGAGTACGTGAACCCGCTGCTCATGTCGATGGAGGACTGCGTCTAGCGTCGTGCGCCGCGCGCGGACGGAGACGGGGACGGCACCGGCGGGCGACACGACGGGGCCGGCCGGCCGGCGGCCTGCCACAAATCGGACGAGCGAGAATTGGACGGCGGCGGGCGGTGATCGGACGCCCCGGGCCGCCGCCGTCGGCCAGAGACGGCGCCCGGGCCGTTTTAGCCTTTTACACTGCGACGCGATTCCTTTAGACCCGTTGATTTTTACATGAAGTGCGCGCCCGGGCCGGCCGGGTGGGAAATCTGTTACGGATGGTGTTGGCGTGTTGGTATTGGCGTGTCGGTGCGAGCCGTGGCTCCGGCGCCGATCGTGTTATGCCTATGGACGTGCAGCGTCGGCGGGTGCTCAGTAATGGTGCGAGAAATGGAGGTACCTCTCTCTGTTTCGTCACGATCAAATTGTCCGACTACGGCAGCTAATAGCGCACGCCGCTCCTGATCATTCCAATGTGTATACATATTAGTTAAGTTTGATTAAGTGAGGCTTTTCCGGATAGCTGCATTCCACTAACTGCGTAGGTGTTTGAGAAATTGTCTCACTAAATTCCTCTATATTTATGATAGCGGCTCTTAGGCTAAAGCTTTTTTATCTAGGCTGGTTATAGTTGTCATGTGTGAATGCGCGAAATGGCACTATTGTGCTGGGCTTTTTTGCCCACGTGTTTCTACTTAGTCCATACGCTCGCGGCGCGCCGCGGTGCGTGCCTGCGGCGGCGGCGGCGGGCAGGGGCAGCTGTGGCGCGCCCCGGCGGTGCCGCTGTCTCAAATCGCTCCGGTCGGCAGACACTGGCGGCCGGCGCCGTGCGCTTCTCGGCGTCTGGGCAAGGTGATCAATAAATCTTTTATGAATTTCCGCTGTCTCTCGGAGCCCGGGGTCGCGGCGGCGGGTGGGTCTGACAGGTAATTCGGACTGACTGGGTTCGCGTACCTGCTCCTGACACGCCGCGCTGTGGAAGCTCGGACTGCTGCCCGTCCGACTGCTGAGTATGTTCAGTCGAACAGAGTCACTGGGTGGCTGATAAAGTTCACAGGGTGCCAGTGACATGTTGTCGACGGAAATTTTGTCTATTATGAACAGGTACTTGCATCATTCTCATCTGTAAGTGACTGCCACCTCACTGGATTTCTGTGTAAACAGCTTGGACAAGGCTTCATAAATATGCACTTTATTTTATGTTGCGTTGTGTCCCGGATCTTTGGATGTTGATGTGCTAACTTTTTGGAAAACCCTAGCGCTGTTTCAGATGGTTTCACACTTGCTGGAACTTTTGCACAAATTATGTATCTTTGAAATTATCGTTGTAGTTGAACGGCTGGCTATTATGCATTCATTTCAGTTCGCTGTATGCTAGGCTTTTTGCAACACGGTTGATAGTTGGATGCCCTTGAAGAATGGTGCGTTTTCTCATCACCCGTTACTTTGCTGCAATTTTTCAATGACGTCTCATCGGAGCATTGTCCAGCCCACGTTTTTATTTTATTGTTACTGCCGCAGTGGCTTTACCTTGTTACTGTTGAGTGTTGATGCACCACAACGCCCTGATGTGGATCCGCTTAGCGCAGTCGCCAATGATTTCCCGATAAGCGGCTGGCTGTGCGGCTCGTCCATCAAGCGTATCATGGTCGCTGAGCCTGGGCTGACGGCGGCCAGCCTGATTTTGTTTGTCCTCTCATCATAATCCATCACGGTTTCGATGCTGCGCAAATCACAGTCGACACGGAATCCATATGCCACACCAGAGCCGTGGCCTGCTGGGGATCACCTCTGCCAGAGTGTGGAGCCAACCGTGCCGGAAGAGCGCGACTGACGGGCCACAAAGCTGGTGTCTTTCCACGAAGCTCGCTGGGGGGGGGGGGGGGGCGGTCCGCCGAGGAGTTGAGTGGGGGGGGGGGGGCACTGGGTCTGTCGTTCTCAGAAGTGTCGCTGACAGTTTCCTCACACCACGGATCGAGCGGGATGTCTGAGAACTTAATTTTGATAATTTTATAATTACGGTAAAAAATGAACGTTTTCACCGGTCAAAGTATTTTTTTTTTTTTTAGAAATACCCGCAAGTTGATGCCGGCTACCTACATATATATTATGTCAGGTCGGTTAAGGTCGATGCCGGAGGTCGCATTTTTTTCGATTTTTGGCAGTTATCGATATATTTTAACGACCCATAGCTCATGAGTGTGAATTGCGACCAAAAGCGATCAGCTTTTAATTAAGATCCGTACCTAAAGTGTAGGTCGTAGAAAACACCCTTGCGAGGGCTAAAAGTTCGCCTAACTCAGAAGAGATGATCTTTTCCTTACTCAATAACAGTGATTTCATCTCAATTTATCTGAGTCCGGTGGCTTCCAATCCAACTTTTGAACGGACCACTCTAAGAAGTGGACTTGGGAATGACTTTCGAGTTCGTATTGAATAAGTTCCGGGCCTATCTGGATACGACTGGAGGAAGCGGGCAACGACGAAAATTGGTTAATAAAGTATATTCCCGCCGAACATAGGAATATGACAGAAATACAACATACTCTTTCAGTTACGTAGACGATACGCTCGAAACGGGTTCCAATGGGGGAACCCCCCCCCCCCCCACACACACACACACACACACACACGCACACCGACCTTCGCCACCCCTCCCGGTGACTCCCGGAGTTTCCCCAGAAGGGTCGAACTCGTACTCGGGACCCCTCTTGGTCCCGACCCAGGCCTCCCCCCCCCTGCCCTTTCAGGTCACCACCGAGACACCAGCTCGTCTCCCGGCTGACCGGATCGAGGTATGACGTCAGCGCCGGCCAGTTTGACGTCACACCTGTCGTGACTGACGTCACGGATGGACACAAATGGTCTGACGGCCAGCATCTGCCGCGTGTTTTGGCCGCTGCAGAAGGCGGGTTTCAACGCCGCTGTGTGTCTTGGCGTACGTTCTTAGAGCCAGGGCTCCGCCAGTCGCCACGGTGTTGTGAGTGGGGGTCCGACCCAAAAATACAAACCCTAATGCATATAAAGCTGTGCGTAGATAATAAAGCATAGCATGAAATATAATAGTGAGTGATCCTGTGGCGTCAGCGATCAGAAGCCGGTGTGGGCACTGAGAGACTGGCAATAACACTATTCAGTCCTACGTGGCCCGTGGGCCCTAAGGCCGGCGTGGGGTTCTCTTAGGCCATCAGTATTTGTATGTGAGCGGTGAGCCTTAGGGCCTGTTGTGAGGACATTGCTGGCCTTTGAGATATCCTCACGTAGCAGCGTGTACATACAGGACCCTTAGCGACCCTGTGACCTATCCTAACCTGAAAATGGATATCAAAAGTCGGGTACCTGGTGGTTATTTAATATCTTGTTCGGGTCTCGGGACGCCGGTCGTGGATGTCCTGACCCGTATGAGCCCATTTATAGTTCCAAAATTACCATAGCAAAATTACCTCAGATGACCTGAGAACAGGACATGGTGAGGTTCCTCAGCCCAGCATACATAGTCAAGGGCGCACACAAGGGGGGGGGGGGCACACGGGCCCGTGCCCCCCCCCCCCATTCGAGTTGGGGGGCCCAACTCGAAGGAAGGGGCCCATTTGAGGCGGCCGAAGGCCGCCTCAAATGGGCCTCTAACTAATCCTTAGACCACCGAAGACCGTGTACAACGGGCCCTCAAATGGCCTTAAGGGCCCTCAGATGGTCTCAAAAGGCCCTCAGATGGCCTCGAAGGCCTCAGATGGATGGCCTCAGATGGCCTCAGATGGACTCCTACACTTACCTGAGTGGCCCCCGTTTACTGAGGGGCCCTGGTTATTGATGGGTCCCTGGTTACTTAAGGGGCGCCTGGTTACCAGAGGGGCCCATGGTCACCTGGTGGGCCCCTGATCAATTGAAAACCCATGGTCATCTGAAAAGCCCCTGATTACCTAAAGGGTCCCATCACTTGGATTCAGTGACATAGCAAGGGAGCGAGGGGGTACGTGCCCGTTCTCGGGCTTAGGGTTCCTTCGAAACCGAGGGGCCCTGCGGCGCCAGTTGGTAGCAGAGGGTTCGCGCTGGCCGCACTTCAACTCGGAAGGACACCACAGGGCTTGTGGGGGGACGTTATTGGCTCCTATGTAGCCACAATTATCTTCATAAAGGCCCAATGCCGGTTTCTGAGAGACCTCGCCGGCCGCTCAGGGCCCTAAGTAGTAACGGCCAACGAGGGATTGGCTGCTATGGCTCCACATCCGTCTGTGATAGACACACGGTCCACACCAGTGTTTCTAAAGGCACCCACAATGGCAACTGCGAGGCCCCTCACCCCACCTCCAAGGGACCCCCACCAGCGCATCTTAAGGGCCTACATCGGCGGCTCTGAGAGTCCCCATGCCGACGCCTCTGAGGGCCACGTACGTACCAGTGACTCTGACTTCTGAGGGCCTCTTACCAGCCTCCGAGTGTCCTTGCCAGCCTATGACGGGCCACTTTCCACTTGCAGGCCATTTTGCAGGGCCACACACATGCCAAAGATGGCCCCACCAGTGTCTCTAAGCCCTAAGACCCCGCAACGGCGCCTGTGAGGACCCAACACCAGCGCATCTGACGGCCTTTCACTGGCACCTCTGAACGCGCCACACACCGGTGACTCTGAGGAGCTCGCTCGCTTCGCTCGCTCGTAAAATACCATGTAAATTAGGCATTAGTGTACATAAGGCACACTCCTCGGGCATAAATGATACTTTTGCTTGCCAATTTTCCACATTTTCTCATGCAAAGACCGTTTTAAAGAGACCCGTCTGCCAGTGAGACTGGACCCACCGTGCCTCCCTCCTCCCATCGAAAGGTCCTGGGTACATCCTTGCCTGACTGACCCCGGGCGCCCGGGTGACTCGCGGGCCCGGGGTCAGGTGACCAGCAGGTGACCCCCTCTTGGGCGAAATTCTGGGTACGTGTCCGACATGCATCGTACATAGTCCTGTTGATTAGATTCATTGGTTAAGCACTAAATATAAGTTATAAGCTGGATCTCTAGTCTGTGATCCCGCATCGTATCAGATATAATGACATTTCATGTCGATGTGCCTAAAAAAAATATGCGAATATACGTGAAAAAGGAGTGCTGCTCCCGCTCCTACACATCCGGGCCAAACAGTGACCGGCCCCTGCTTCTAGCCACCCGGGGCCGGTCGGCCGGCCGGCAGTCAGTCGCTGCCCGGGACTGATTTCTGAGGGACCTGCAAAAATGTTTATTAATGAAATGTTTTTCGTAATAAATTAGATGATTAGGTATATGTACCGGCTCTGAGTCGCATTTGAGAAAAAACAGCCTAGCGTAAAAATATATATGTTTTGAAAATTAAGCTGGTACCGAAATAATTGTTTTACCATGCATTGACAAACCAATTGCTCAAGCTTCAAACCAACCGAAATATAGCCCCGTGGGCCGTATTTTTTTTTTGGGGGGGGGCCTTCCGCATGGGGGGGCCCAGTTCGAAGGTCGTGCCCCCCCCCCCCATTCAAAAATCCTGTGTGCGCGCCTGTACATAGTGGTTTGTCTCAGTGGACCATTTGAGGCTACTGGATGACCTCGCACGGAAACGGGGCTCTTTCGATTCGACTCTTTCAAGATATGGCACTGTATAGGAGTTTTCATCTGACGCAGCTCTTGGGACCTGGGCCACCAGTGACACCTGACAAATGGTAGGCGGAGTTCGAAAGGACGTACAAATCCTGAAGAAATCACTTTGTCATTTGCTAGGCAAGGTCAAAGGTCAGGTCACCAGAGGTCATCAAAGGTCAAAACTCAAATTTATCCTGTCTGAACAGCTTTCGACAAATTTCGTCGCATAACACGGGAACGAATCGCCACATCGCCGCGGAACAGCATATTCGATAGCTCTTGTTATCATTCTCTTTCTCTGGCATGTTTTTGTCAGCGGTGTAGCCTACAGCCTACAGCTAGGACAAAAGTGCCTAAAAACTGTCAAAATTGACGTTTTGCGGAAAATGTTTGCAATACCTTACCTTTAGTTTTTAAATCAAAACCCGTAGAATCATTTTACCTGCTTCGTGTTCCTCTCGTCGAGACGCGTCGGATGAATTATAACTTGACATTGAAAGGTCATTTTGAGAACTTGACCTTATTTCCGGGCCATGACATGAAGTGATAAGCGCTTATCAATTGATCCGCACCGTGGAGCTCAACACATGGTGCTTTCAGCGCTCTGGCAGTGGCATGTCTATCAAAAGTTATGGTAGAAAACAACGCCGTATAAGAGAAAATCTTGCATAACCTGAGTCCTGACTCTGAGATGACCTGAGGTCACGAGTGCCATTGCCTGATTCGATATTCCATGTTTACCTGTTACCCGATGTTTGAAAGCGTTAAATTTGACTTTCGTCCAATAAGAAGCGCAGCTCAATTTTCTTCCCCCTCTGACTTAGGTATAATGGAAGGTTAGGGTTGCAAAGGTTGACGTGACCTTAGGTCACCGATATTAAAATTCTGAGACATGCGTTTTGTATAGACATGCGTAACGGGATACGTGCCCTGTTGTATTGCCCTGTTGTACCTACCGTTGTACATACATTGTATAGTATAGGTAGACATACGTGCCCTTATCAATCGATGAAAGCTTGGAAGCGATCATTCAGTGGGTGTAGCTAACTATTACCTGGCTATGGCGAGCATTTTAACTTTTCCTCAGGTGCGATCACTTGACGTGACCTGATAGTATAACCTTGACAGACCTTGGATTGGATCTGGAGTTTTCTCACGAACAAGTGCATAAAATATGTTTTCTTTAGGTAACTTATGTTCGCAGAAAACCGTACGAAAACCGCAAGTTTGGCCAGTGGGCCACCCTCCCCCTGACCGCTCCGCTTTAACAATCCGCAGGATGATGCAAGGTGGTAGCTACTAGCTACCTCGTTCAAGAGCGTCAAAATTGGGAAAATTTGATCTTTGATTGCATCCGGGTTATCTTGAGAACGAAAGAACAGCCGAAATCCGGAGAAAATGCTTGCTCCAGGTGAGGCTCGAACTCACAACCCCGGCATAACTCAGTACTGTCGTATAAGTACCGTGCGCTAACCGATTGCGCCACTGGAGCAGCCGCCTCCGCCGGTCCTAAAACCCAAACAGGCCAAAATGTCAACATTGCATCTAGATTTATCTGTTTCTTTGATCATAGAACAAAAAGCTATTGGAGATAATGCAGAATGATGCAGGAAAAGTAATGTAAATGTCACTAAACTCCCGGAAAAAGCTCAGAACCTTTGTTTCAGTGGAGATTTCGAGCAGGTTCCGAGCTTCGCCACTAGATGGCAGCCAACGTCATGGCAACGACGCAGTCAGCTGGCTAAACTCTGCCGGTCGCGTCGGCTGGCGGCGGCGCGCTGTGGCGCCGCTGTGGGTCCCTGCTGCACGTTCGGTGCGCCGGCCGGCACTTCGCGTGAGGGTGCTGCGGTGTGTGGGTGTGGAGACGGCTGTGGTGAACACTGTTGGCATGGCAATTCGCTTAGGGACACGCTGCGCAGCAATGACTTAAAGAAGTTTGTGTCCAGACGGATTGCCAGCTTCAGCTCGCGCTCTCCGGACCTTGGACGCGTTACAGGTCATCGCCGGTGAATTCGTGATGATGGAAACGGTAAACGGGCGGTATTCCCTTCAGCCGGACCAATACAGCCCACATATTAAGCGAGTTCTGAAAAGCTACCGCTCATCAGCTATGGACAGCCTTTCCGGACCACGTGAGTTCACCCATTTCAAGCGTGAGGCGAATGCTAGTGATGATGACTGTGTGAAGCCTAATGCAACCATCACTTCATCGAAGTCTGTTTCTCTCGTTAACGTGCCCAAGGCGACCTCGGACAAGCGTGTATGTGACCTTTCATCGGATGCGTCGGGGGTGAAGCAGGCAAGCAGTGACAGTGACTCCCCTAGGGAGTGCAGCCCGTCTCCCCCGCGTATCCCCTTCCCCCCGCCCATCCTCTCGGCTCCCGACCAAGCCTGGGGCGAGGTCAGTGAGACCTGGCTGGAGGGCGAGACTATTTCTTGTTTTTCTGTAGGTGGTGAGAAGCGACTTTGCCTCCCACAAGTGCTTAACTCTGTCCTGCGTGGAGTCAGCATTTCACAAATCCATGGTGTTTGCGACGAGCTGCACATTTTCTGTTCAACGTGCAGCAAGGAGCAGCTGGACGTGCTGAAGAAGAGCGGCATCCTGCCGCCGAGCGCCTCCCAGTGCGGACTGATCACTAAGACAGACGCCGAGCGGCTGTGCAGTGAACTGCTGAACGGCAGCGCGCCGCAGCTCCTCAAGTCCGAGTATGAGCTGGGCACCGCCAACCAGCGTATGGACGTGCACCACAAGTGTTTCGGCAAGTGCCGCGGCACGCTGCGGCTCGAGCTGTACACCTCGCCGCCGGCGCCCTGCATCGAATGCAACGAGTGCCGTGGCCTGTTCGCGCCCATCAAGTTCGCCTCGCACACGCACGAGAACCGAGAGACGCGGACGGTGCACTGGGGCTTCGACAGCTCCAAGTGGAGGAACTATCTGCTCTTGTGTCCCGGCCAGGCCGACATGGAAACCAAGGAGGCGCTGTTCAAGGAGTTCAAGAACAAGTTTGACCTGACGCTCAAACGGAAACAGGTGAGTCGGCGACCTCGTGCGGGACGAGGCGTTATTGGTTCGGCATGATGTGTGTGCGTACTTGCGTAGGCTGTGTCTTTACCTATACAGTAAGTTATAACTTATAGAGCCTCTCAAATACTCTGTACCTTATATACTTATGGTTCATGCTTATATTTAAAGTGTTGGCAGCTGGGACGTTGATAATTAAGGAACGCCCTGAGTTATATATCTATTCGCAATAACTGATGTCATACCGTTTTCCCGATAGTTTATATTTCAACACGCCCTTGCTGCATTCAGAAGACTTCATCGCTCTTTTGGTGCTTAGCAATTGCGAGAGTTTCGGTCGGGCGTGAAATATTGCCCATATGGATCATTCAGATTGCTTCTAGTCCGCTCCAGTGATTCGACATTGACTTATGGCGGCATGCAAACGATTATGTTCCATTTGCCCTCATTAAGTCGCTTGTCATTTGTGATGACCGGTTTATTTCAATCATCAAAGAGCTCCGTTGGTGTCTGGTCGCTTGCGCTTACTGTTATTGATAAGTCCTAATGCTCGCATTGAGCTAAAATGTATCTTACTGCTGGTAGCAGAGCAAATGACTGCAGTTTTTTTTCAAATGATTTAAGCTTGTGGTGGCTGCTGCTGTGATCCAGGATTTGCTTTCTATCCTGAGCCAATATTGGGTCGGCATTTTTATACCCACTTTGATGATAAAAAACATCATGTTTCTTATTATCAATTTCCAACGAAGGTACGTAGAGGGTTACATTGATTTGTGTAGATTGCGTGGACCGTACCATTTGTTTAGTTTCGTATGTCGTCCTCGATGAACACGAGCCGAACCGAGCCAAGCCGAGCCGAGCCGAGCTGCCGACTCGACCTCGTGCACTGTGCAGTGTGCCCTGCCAACTATGGCCGCCGGCTGATGGTGTCTGCCGTGCACTGTGCTGTGTGCCGCCGGCTGATGGTGTCAGCCGTGCACTGTGCTGTGGGCTGTGTGCTGTGTGCCGCCGGCTGATGGTGTCAGCCGTGCTCTGTGCTGTGTGCCGCCGGCTGATGGTGTCAGCCGTGCACTGTGCTCTGGGCTGTGTGCCGCCGGCTAATCCTGCCAGCTGCGGCGTGACCCGTGACACAGATCCCCCGGTCACCTGCACGGGCGGCTGCCGAGCACGCCGGCCGGCCGGCCGCGATCGATGCAGCTCAGGTGGTACGGCTGCTGCAGCTTTCCGAGCCGCCGCGCGACCCTCGTTCATCGGTTAGCGGCCGGCTGACAGGCCGGTCGGCGGCTCACTCTTCTGGGAATGCCCGCCAAACACGGCAGTGGGGCCAGTGGCTGCACGGCTCGGCCGGTCCTGGCGCGATATATAGGAGTGTTCCAGCGCCATCGGATTATGGTAAATGCTGTCACTCCTCAACGCAGCCCGGGTAGCAATGTCTGCATCCCTTCCTGTGGCGCTACTATCAGTCAAGCCCGCCTGGGTATCCCGAAGTGCCATGCTACGATGCGCCGTCCACTTCGTGCCATTACTCACTGCCGGACAATCAAACGGTCGACTTTATGTCGCCACAAGTAGGTAGATCACTCACGCCGTTTGGGACAGTGCCGAAACGGTCGGCTGGTCCGACTCATATGACACACCTTACGACCAAGGACATCGGCCCGGCAATAGTGCGACGGTCATACGGCGCTGGTACGGCGATAGTACAGCGTTGGTTATATACATAGTCGTACAGCGTTGGTGCGGCGTTGGTATGACAGTGATGTGGCGTTGGTACGGTGGAAGTAAAAGGTACGACGGTCATAGGGTGGTGGGACGGCAATGCCGTCGTCCATCGCTCCGCTCTCTCGCCACGCCATACGGCCGAATTAGTCACAGCGGCGCTGTCGCTGAATTCGGGGACGGAATGCGGCCCACCCAGTGGGCTGAGGAGCGACTGCGGAGACTGTGGAGACGCCTGCCAGCTGGTGGGACGACTCCGGTTCCCAGCGCGGCCGGCCGGCCAACGCCCCACGGGTGTCCGGGTGGCTGGACTGCCGGGGCGACCGCCCGCGCCGCACTCGCTGTGTCTGTGGCTCTCTCTCTCTCTCTCTCTCTCTCTCTCTCTCTCTCTCTCTCTCTCTCTCTCTCTCTCTCTCTCTCGGTCTCTCTCCCTCGTCCTCTGTCTCTCTCGGTTTCTTTCCCGCTCTCTTCTCGTTCTCGCTCATTCACGACCCACATGTCAGTCACTGCCCAGTCACTTCTCAGTCATCGCTCGGTGCTCAGTCACTGCCCAGTCACTTCTCAGTCATCGCTCGGTGCTCAGTCACTGCTCGGTCACTGTTCAGTGCTCAGTCACTGCTCGATACTGTTCAGTCACTGCTCGGTCACTCCTCGCTGCTCGATCACTGCTCAGTCACTGTTCAGTGTTCGGTCACTACTCGGTCACTGCCCAGTCACTTCTCGGTCACTGCCCGGGTTCTCTGTCACTGCTCGGTCACTGCTCTATCACTGCGCCTGCGGCAGTGACCGGTCGGTCAGCGGCCGCCCAGCAGTGACCCCGATCGATCGCCCGCTCTGGGAGCTCCAGCCGGCGTTTCCCCAGCCACAACAGCGCCCGTTCGTGGAAGGAGCCGCGCCGACCATTAGTGGTCGGTGCCGCTCCATTCATTCTCAGCTGCACCGCCGGGGCACCCTCAGACGAAGCGCTAATTGGAGCTGAATCCGCGGCAAAGGGGTGGCGGACGTATGGAGCGAACTGGCGTTGGTTTGTCAGGTGTCAGCTAGTGTTGGTGCTTGGCATTGCGCTTCTGTGCGAATTGCATGTTTGCTATTTATGCCTCTTTGAGCCGCCAGTGCTACTATTTTGGACTTTGAGAGGCGTGCCAGTTTGTAGCATGTATGCGAGTGTAAACTTGAAAGGTGTTGTGACGATGCAAATTTTAGTAAGATACAACTCCTCGTTAAACCGAGCTGCTGTATGCTCCGTGTTGAAGGCAGCATTCTTGATGACAAGATAGCGCAGCGCCCTCGCCCCGCATTGTGCTGGCTTTATCGTTCCACGACTGAATTTGTAATACAGCCATGGTCCATAACTGACATGACCCTTGCGCGTCGGCGACCCCTCCCACCGGTCAATGCGCCCCTGCGTGAACCGCCCACCGCCCGGTCTGACCCCGCCCCTCCCGCCGCCGCCGTCGCCGCCGCCGCCGCCGCCGCCGCCGCGGCGGCGGCGCTGGCTCAGTGCCAGACGGCGGCAGCGGCCATCGCGGCCCGGTGGCACGCGGTCTGTCGGGGGCACCAACCCCCGGCGGCGGCACCGCGAGGTCGGACGACCGGTGACGTCACCGCCGCCGCCGCCGCCGCCGCCGCCGTATTGATCTGGCCGCTGCCGCCGCCGCCGCCGCTTCCGGGCGTCGCGCCACCGTGCGCGTGTGTGTGCGTGCCGCCGTCGCCGCCGCCGGTCGATCCGACGCGTCGAGACGACGGGGCGGGGTCGAGCGGCGGCGCTGCGGGGGCGGGGCGGGGCGGCCGACCGGCGCCGGCCGCCCGCCCGCTGAACTTGGGGCTGTGAACTTGACGCGGAGCTCGATCGATACGGACAACGACCTGGCCCGGCAGAGGCGTGCGCGCGCCGTCCGTCCTAGAGCGGCGCCTCTGCGACCTTACTGGTGGAGGAGGTCACTGCCGAGTGGGTATCCTTACTTCGCAGTAACCGCGCAGCGCCTATTACGAGGTGTGGCTAAAAAGAAACCGGACTGCTCGTGCTGGCCATAAACTAGGGGACCCGAAGACTAGCGAGACACTTGGCATTAATCTTTAGCATATTGTCGTGATGTGTGCCAAACGGCATCTGGATATCGCAATTATTCTCCTTTCCACAGCTCTTTGTTTTATCGATGTTCGGCGGCCTTGTCATCGCCAGGCTTCTACGATGAACTTCGAAAAAAAAGAGGGAACATCACGTTCCTTTCCAGACTGGAGAAAAGTCCAACAGAGACGCTGAATCTGTTCAAGGCTGTTAATGGGGAGCAAGTCATGTGTAACATGCAAGTGTTTGAATGGCATACGAGGTTCAGCACTGGTCGTGAGGATGTCGGTGATGACCCCAATGTCTGGAGGTCCATCAACGTCCGCGCGCATGTCGAAGTCGAGGGTGGAGACGACATTGATCGTCTTTTTCGATCATAGGGGATTCGTTCACCGCCAGTTCGTGCTGGAGGTGTACCACAGTCGACCAGCCACTTCTACAAGGAAGACCTGGGACGCCTTATTTCACGAGTCAGGCGCACCAAGTGGAGTTTCTGGGAAGCCAAGAACTGGGTGCTCCATCACGACAACGCTCCCGCGCATTCTGTCATTAGCGTTCAGCAGTTCGTTGCCGAAAAGCAGGTCGCGGTGCTCAAGCATCCTCCTATTTGCCAAACCTCCCTCCCTGTGACTTTTGGCTGTTCCCTGAAATGAAAAACATCGTCAAGGAAACCCATTTTGAATCAGTCGAGGACATCCAGACCGGAGTGACCAGCGTCAGCGTCATCAATAAAACAAAGAGCTGTGGAAAGGAGAATAATAGCGATATCGAGGTGCCGTATGGCACACATCACGACAATATGATAAAGATTAATGTCCAGTGTCTTGCTAGTTTTGGGGCCCCTACTTTATGGTCAGCACGAGCAGTCCGGTTTCTTTTTAGCCACACCTCGTATCTGTATAAAATTGGAGTAACGCCGTCTCTCTTTGTCGACTTCCCCACCATCGGAGCCGGTGACGCCGTGCGCCGGTGTCGGCGGAACGCTGCGCTCGGCGCCGGTCTCTCCCATTCACGGCCGCGCCAGCCGCCCGCCGGTCGATACCTCCTGCACACACAGCGAGCGGCGGCGGCGGCGGCGGCGGCGGCGGCGCGACCGGCCGCAGCCAAGGCCAGCCAGCGCGGCCGGCCCCCGCCGCCGCCGCACGCCGCGCGCTGTCCAGCCAAGAGCTATTTCGGAGCGTTCCACGAAGCGGTCTTCACCGGGAGCGGGTTGGCCGCCGGT